CCGGCGCGTTAGCTAGAGATGATGGAATGATAATCAAAAACTTGATTCCTATGAACAGCTAACTAACTACTTTTCTACTACTAATACTACTTTTCTAACTACTTTTCACGCAATAACAACCTGTCTAAATAGAGTAGCGCAAATGGCAGGTAAAATGTGCTCACTTACTTTGCTCAACTTGGGTTTGACCTCATTTGGTACCGCGGGATGAATAAAGGGTGAAATACGGTCGACTGTAGTTAGAGAGGCACACGAACCAACCGCCTCATCGGGATTTGAAAGAGAAGTTTGTTTTGAAGAGTAGAACTGCGTTATGGTGGCCACCTTGGGAGCACTCGTAGGCTTCGGACTGAGAACTGAAGACACACAATATTGGGATAAATGTAGCAACTAAACAACGGTTGTGAAAACAAACCACGTACTCTGGAGCGACACTGTATTATATATTATAAGATAATCAACGAGTTAAAAACTGAGAAACAACCAACAGATAAAGGACACGCTACCGATGACCTCTTTTTGTGTTTACCCTGTTGCGTAAGTTACATGGGTCTCATCCCCAAACGCTTGGCCGATCGAATGAGAGAACACCACCCAGCTTGGCTCAGTCGGGGACCGATAAGGGCAGGTGCGAGTATGGTTGCAATACATCTGGCCGAGACGAATCACACCGTGGATGTGCGGGAATCGTTCCATTTGATCTATTTACTAATGGGGTCCGGTCTAAGGATGTCAAAGCTTGATTGCTATCTAAAGCCGAGGTGATAGCGATTAGAATAAACAACCCGTCCCCCCCCCACACACACACAAACAGTTCGTTAAATCACTTTTCCCCCCGTGGTCATGTGTCCCAGGTGCCCCCACCTAACATTTCAGTGGAATATTCACAATCATCAATTATGCGGTCAGTGTTTGAAAATCACCCTCCGGAACCCTCAACTCCCATTCTGCGCATAGTGGACCCTGATTTGACTGTCTCCCTGAGTTACATAATCCGTTGTAATTGCTCGGTAGACAAAGCAATGAGAGCAAGCTTGTTCGCCACATCTCTGATTTTCTAATGAATCTATCGGAACTATTCACTCATGTGAAATACACCAAACGGTTGTGGGAAGGAAATTCCCGTAGACAATGTAAAAAACGATGCGCGAGAAATTTCCTTTCGATGTATCGTCTCAGGTGGTGACACATTTAAGGCAATCGATCATGTTACAAGTATTTGGCTGGGTGATTACATTTCAGTTGGACGAAGACAAAGGCGAGGAAGCGAATGTGATAAGGCTAGCGCTAGTCAATGCTAGAGGAGAGAGGAGAGAGATCAAATGAAATAGATGGTAGAACGAGAGGCTGATTACCCGAAGCTGTTATTGACCGAAGATCAACAGAATCAAAAGCCCAGCCAGTTCCTCGCAAGAACGTTTGCGTTACCGTTCCGTTTAAGGATGATGATGATGACTTGGAACTTCTCAACGGATGTCTCTTAAAAGCAACTTCTAGAACGTTCCCTGCAACACAACCTTACATTCAAACTACCACTCCACCCTTATTGTTCCAGCAAACAACAGATAATCTACCTCATCAGTTCGAATCCTTCGTTTTATATCTTATCACGTGCACTCGTGGTGCTAAATACATTGGACACCCGACCAAGCGAACACCAAGACGTATTGCTGAGCACCGTCCTACGGACCTCTACAATGAATTGGTTTGGTACATTCGCAGTTCGATTCTCGATGATCTCGTCGACAGCGGGCATGTTGTGAACGAATTGAATGTATTCAAAATTATTCACACTATACCCTAAAGATGTTAAATGAGTGAGAAGGCGCCTTTCACCTACTGTCGAGGTGATTACAATTCGTATTTTGAGTCTTGAACTATATAAGCCAAAGAAGTTTGTTAAGATACTGGCCTGGATACCGAATTGACTGGGTATAAAACAGAGCATCAACCCTCCTCCCCAAACACCCGCCCTGTCCAGTATCATCTACCATCAGCTTACCAGCTACTTATCTTTTGTTTACACTGTAACTAAGCGATGAAAGCACATGCTAGCATGGACTACCTTGATGCAGTTAAATGCTAGCCTACGTCATGTTTATAAAGTGTGTTGTAATCAAGCAACCAGATATCTGTAATATGATCAATCGCCAAATATCGTAAAGAAATTTCTTCCCGAACACCACTTTCTAGTACGAGAAAAGCGGAAAGATTATTCGTGATGTTAAAGTTGGATGAAATTGGTACTAAGCCTAAATACGTATCACAGACTAAGCAAATTAGACTAAGAATGGTTTCAGTATCGAAAATTAGATCGCACCTTTGCGCGTCGATATTTTTTTGTTGATAGTTTGAACCACGATTTGTGTATGCGACATTTGAGCTTTGAGCACAGCTTTTCGACCGAGAGAGAGAACCTGAAAAGTAATCGATCGAGAATAGTGGGAGTAGCAGAAACAGTTTCTAAGAAAAAAATAATAAACGAATGAAACAACATCAGTTCTATGTCAAACGAAACTGCACTATCTAAAAGAGTATGATTTTCACTGAATTAAACAAACTCGGAACCTTCCATTATGTATTTGTTTCCGTTATGATGACGTTCAAGGCAAGAGTCTGCTCACTTAACTAATTTAGCAATGAGACTTATTAATGAAGGTGTGATACAATGAAGGGGAATGTGACAGTTGAACTCCAAACTCGCTGAGGAATAGTTCAGGTTTTGCGATGAACGCGTGTGCGATTGAATTACAAGGTATCGATAGCACTCACCGGAAGAAACTAGCGTCAATGATACACAGGTACAGGAATCGACCTACCGATTGGAAATTTTGTTGAGCTTGCGCAGCGAACTCGTTCTCTTTGCCATCATCTAAATCGCTGTCCACTTGTTTCTCATCCTCACCATTTGATACTGCAGAAACGTCTGCATCCTTCGGATTTGAGGCATCTTTATCGAGGTCGACATCATCCGGGGCTCCAACACCCGGTTCAGGTTGAGCTTTGGACGATGCCTGAGAGTCTCGTGTGGTGTGCTGCAACCATCGATCCATCGGACCAAAGCGACTAACCACAGCGATAGCATCGTCTTCGGAATCGCTGTCATCATTGGCATCATCCATTAGGCCCGAAGTATCCGCCAGAGGATCGTCATTTTCTAAGCGATGAAAAATAGTGAGACTAAACTGATGATGCAACTGTCACGAGATACTGATATTGATCCTCTGGCTCGATTGCGATGCAGATTTGACGAATATTCTCTTCGTGAAAAGATCGACAGTTTACATGGGATCTGGATCGTTACGTAACTGTTATTCACATTTCTGTATGGTGGCAGATGAACCCCTAGAAGTGGTCAAACTTCATTGGGCGCACTGTTGGCGAGTGTTTTGGCGTACCTAGCAGCACATTACTAGTCCACCTACGTCAGAGTATTATTATTATTGTTATTAGTCGTATAAAAGTGAAGTAAATAGGTATTACCACAAAAATTGTTATGAGACCATGTTTAGTTTTATACCCGCTTTTCGTTTTCATAAAATGAAAGGTGATACAATAACAGATCATGGGAATTATTGATAGGACAACTGAGTTCTAGTGGCGAGATAAATAGCAGAAACGGACTATCCAGCGAGAGCAGATCCGACAAAGGTCGCGATCAGGAGCAATAGGTAACTGAACTAAAAAAAACCGACTACATCGGGGAAGATGGATAATAACAGTGCATCTATAAGTGCACCGAGTGAAGGGTCGAATCTATATATTTTAATCGATAAGGTCATTGGTTCATTATCAACGGCGGCGGTCGTCAAATAACATTGATCAGTATTTTATTAGCGCCGGAGACCATGTTTGAACCCCGAATTCTTCGATCTTTGTACCATCTGGTAGCACTCTGACTGATCGTAGTTCCATTCTCAGCTTCGAACCAGGCTAGGGCATAGATATAAGCACTTGAACAATGGAAACGGAAAGAAATCAGCAACGAGAAACTGAATGCGAGAAAACACCTACTTTAGTTGTTATGATGTAGCAGTAACTCACCTAGCCCACGCCAACGAAAACGCCGCTCGCGCACTTTACCGTTCTCCGCATACAAATCACCATCTTCTAGGTAGAGTTCCTGAAGTGTAAAATTGAGAGGTTGAATTGAAAGAGACCCAAATTCAGCTTTATTCAAATATGAAGTGATCGGCCGCAAGGAGTAAAATCCGTGGTCTGTTTCATCATACCCAACACAGAAATGTTTATTACAGATCGGTCGATCGGTCATTGTGGAAGAGCAATACAGCACAATGCATAAATATTAGCTCTTGGTCATGGGGATTGGAAATTACACTGACTAGCAGCGAAAAAACCTGAGCGGAAATGTTTATACCTCGCGATAGTTCAGTTCAGTTCCTACAACCAATAACCATGTACTTTCGTGCGCCGGTTTTCGTTGCTGTCTTTTGGCGCCCCATTTAGATAAAATAGCAGAATGATTATTAGAATGTTGAGAGCCAATTCAAGCGAAAGATAAAGAATTCAAATGACTGAGATTGCAAAAATAATGAGTAGATGCAAGAGCGTCATTGTTTGCGACATCCAGCCATATCGCCCAGTGTCTCTAACCATCGGGTGCGATCATCCCGAGGTCCCCAGCCAGGGAGCTTAACGGGACTTATGTGACGCAGTCTCCCGGTTAGGGTTTCCATACCCTCCTGCCAGGTCTTCGTTTCACCGCCTTTGGCTTTATTCCACTTACTAACTGCCTCGACAAACATCGCCCGCCGTGGCAACCTATCTGGTGACATGCCCCAACCACCTCGCGATACAGCATCTAATTTTAAAAAAAACATCAATCTTCATATGACTGTTTGTTCCGGTAGTTCAATTCAGATATTTAAACGGTAGTCTTAGGCTTATATGGCATTCCTCAGTCGTGAACGATGTCCTGACTTTTCCTTTAGATCTTACAGTCGTGTTTTTCCGTATTTTTTTTATTATTTCAACATAATAAGATTTGCTACTCCAAGTTCCAAGTGTTTAGGTTACACCACTGTGAGATGACAAGAGGTAAAACTCATAGTCACGAGGGCTGACTGAACACTCATTTTTCAGTTTAGTTTACTCAATCATTAAGCATACACTTTCGTGTGCTGGTTTTCGTTATTGTCTTCTGATTGTCCGTCCGGACGAATGAGTGGAAATGCGGATTTCTGGTGGACAAGGGTTGTAAGGATTTTGAGTAGATTTGCTTATGGCCGATAGGGTACTATCTTATTTAACCTTTAGTTAACGCAGGGAGCTGTGGGTCCCTTTCAAAAGATGAACCAATACAAAACGCGCACGGATGAAAGAACACAGCACACAAACGCTTCTTGGCGGTTTTAAAACATTCAACCCAGGTGATTGAACCAAGCTCCCGCGCTGAATCTATCTATATCGCTGCATGTAAAGATACCAAACAAAACCTTATAATCGCAGCTAAATGGGACAATCGACAACCCAGATCCCATTGAGTTTCCACTGAAAGAGCATCGTGTTAAACGGGTAAATTTGAACGGTACGTCTCAAAAAGAAATATAACAGGACAGTCCTCTCACCTTCAAAAACCGTAGTTCACGCTGATCTTGATCCGCTTGCAAACGATTGTGCACGCGTTCAACTTGGCGCCGGAGACGACCTGCTGAGGGCACGTCTGGATCATCATCGTTTGCTTGTAATTCCGCCAATTCTTCATCATCATAGTCATCTTCGCCATCATCATCCATATAAAACGCTCGTTCGTTTTCATCACCTGACAGTTCAGCCTCCTCATCGAGAAAATCATCCACACGAAACCTGAAGTTCAGCGTTTGATAAGTTTGAAGAACACGTTAGCAAATTGCATCGAATTACGGGGTCATCTATCAATAACATGACAGTAGTGAACAGACACCTGGTAAGGAAAGCAAGCAATCTATACCCCCAGCGTTGAGAGAGGTGGGAACGGATGACTGATGTGACCAAAAAGTAAAAAAACGCTAGACTGTCTGAATTCACCATACTGAACCTCTCCGATTTGTTGGATACGAAAAAGTTCGGGAATAAATTTCTATGTCACACATTATTCCGATGAATTGATTGATATTCGTAGATTTAGAAAAAGTTTAGAATATTTCAGTTTTGTTGATAGATTGAGCTAAGCTTTGATCGACTTCGATAAATTTCAAAACCAGTACACGAATATCTCACGAGGTGATAATCGAACGAAGTTTGAGACGGGTAGTAGATTTTAAAATTCGACATACAGTGTCTCATTTCACAACTGGGCATTTTAACACTTCCGGGATGTCGTAACGTTATACTCGATATGAGCGATGCAGTTGATGAGGAAATAACCAAGTTCCCCAACCCGAAATTCACCGCGGAACTTTGTAATTGCACAATTTTCAACAAAACTCTCTATGTAGTTGTAATTGTTCACTTTGCCGTACCGTTGAATTCAACTGGAAGCCTTTACTCCCCTGATTTGGATCGTTCCAAAGCCGCAGGACTAGATTGAGTCAAAGATAATAGTTTTTGATGTTTCTTGTCTGGCTTGAAATGTTTACTCCTTATCTTAAGATTAACGTTGTTGTTTCGTCTGTATAGTCAGTTATTGCGTCCTCTATTAGTTTTAACTTTCATATTTCGGCGCAGATATGGACTCAGATTGAGCATATAGCTATGAGCTATCGATGGAGAGGATACGTGCCGTTCGTATTGGTCTACCTGCTTGGACTCTGACGACGCACTGGTTTGTGCTAAGTTGTTTGTACTATGTGGTGGCCGCAAAAGGATGAGATGCTAACAGCTTGGCGTCGTCAAGCTTTCTGATCCGGCCGTGCCAGCCGAATACCGAAACCAGTTGACCGCAAGGCTAACTACAGTCCCACCAAGAAGCGTAGATCAATACTGTATACCAATTCAAAACGCAATGCACTCAGTTAGTTTACACAGTTTTAGTCTGACCCGTCGAGCTGTAAAACAATGGGTCTCCTGCAACTCTCTGACATTTTGACGCACGTCGGGCAATCCCGGCAGACAGCGAGTATAGTGGACAGCACCTCGCTCCTTGAAGTGTGAACTCATCAAGAGTTTGAGAGACGACCGAGAAGCCTGGTGGACGCTACGTGCAAAGGAGATGGAATCAGCAGCTCGGTGTGGAAACACCCGGCAACTATTCTAACTCATCCGTGCTACGGGCCGCAAAAGACAGTGCATTAGTGGAAGAATCTGCGAAGTAGACGGCACGTTATTACAGTCTTCACCGACGCTTGGAAATCTGGACATACCACGTTACATGGCAGTTCAACCAGCCCCTCATACCCCATCCCGATCATCACGGCGAGACTGCACCTTGACGTGGTGTGATGGCTTGTGCACCTCTATGACCTAACGAGCTACACAGGATGGCTTTTGTCAAGCCGCAGATCTAATCATGCCTGGAAGGTCAATGGGTAGAGGTCAGACAAAGTCCAGTCTCCTGGTCCCCCAGTGTGGGGGTTCGACTTGAGTCGGCGTCTCAGTCGATAAAACGTGTTGGAGGAATAATTGATCCAAGCTACAAGGCAGCTAGATCGGACGGACTGCCATCTGCCCTCTTTAAAGACGGTGGAGAAGCTCTCGTGAGAGAGCTAGTGAAACTGTTC